CCAGTGTAATAATCTGCACAGCAAAACCCCTTTCTTTAATACCAGTTTGATACTGCTTTAAATGGTATTGACTGGGCCAAAGAATATCATGATGGATGACCGTACACAAACTGCTTCACAGTACAGGAATTAGAAGAATGGTAAATCATGAAATGGTACATTTAAGTGCGGAATACAATGTAAGCATAAACGTATGCACTGTTCAGGGTTATAAAGACTATTTTGATCTATAACGAAAACCTGGTTGTGATATTGAATCAAATCCAGAGTGCAAATAAATAACATTGTTATTGTTCTTATATATATACAATAAATGCATTAAATGACTAACCCTAAGTTGTGAGATTTTGCTTTTCAAAAGCACTCACTAAATTTTCATTTCAATGCTTTATTCTTGCTGTTTAGGAAAGGAAAAACGAGATAGTGTATCAGTCATGGAAAATTAAACAAAGAAATCGATGTACTATACAAAGACTGGGTAGAGAAAGGAAGACAGTAATTGCACAAGTGAACCACTAAACTAAACTTCCTGAGGCAGTTTGCAACCCATTGTGAAATCAGAGGTCACAATTCCTTTAGAAAGGTTGCAGAAATGTAAGATAGTATTATTAGAACATGTACCATTTGAAGCTGAAAAGTCTAGAAAGGCTCAAAGGGAAACATTTAGCTGCTTTTGTTTTGTATTTAAGAAAAAAAGCAGTAATAATAGAATTCAACAATTGGAACACCAGCAGTGGCCCTACCTACACTGACCATTTAATGCAGTTCCAAACCGGAATTGAAGAAAGTGGTTTTGCTGTGCAGATAATTACATAGGAAATCCAAGAACCAGTTTGAAGTCTGTTGGTATTTACACAAACCACACAGCACTTATACACATTAAGAGCTTGCTTTTGTGTGCTTTTGTAGGTATATGTTGTATGGCAGCCACAACTTGAAGATAGCACTAAACTGCAATAAATGGTTAGTGTAGATGGTGCCCTGGTATATGTCTTCAAGTTCTATGAAACTTACAGCAAACCTAATTAAATTCATATTTTTTTCTTAGGTAAGGAATACTCAGAAGTGTTTTACTGTTTCCTTTTTCTGAAATATAGACAACAGCCCCTGGTGTAGTTGGTCCTCTGTCTCCACAGATTCAACCACCTACAGCTTGATTTTTTTTTAATCCGAAAAGAAAATTTTGATTTTACCATTTTATAATATGGTGTCTCACTACATCATTGTACATCATGGGACTTGAGCATCCACGGATTTTGGCACTCACGGGGGATCCTGGAACCAAATCCCAGTGGATACCAAGGGCTTACTGTATTTCTCAGTGGTTCCCCTTCCAAGTACTAGTGAACCCTCACTTCCAAGCTCAGGTAGGATACAAAAATGAGATTTAGGGCAAAAAGGAAGGGTCAAAAGAACTGTCAGTCTAGGTACACATTGCCTAGGTGTCAGGCTGCTTCCCCATTTCTTTCATCCCTATTTCTTGTCTTCTCCTCATACCTTTTCCCCTTTCCTTTCTCTTCCTTTTCTCTTTCTTCTTTCCACCACCTCCCTTACCCTTTCCTTCTGTCTCTCCTTTTTCTCTTCCCTTACTTCCTCCCTTCCCTCATACACATGTTACCTCTCTTGCCCATTGACATCACAGAAGGCTGCTTCAGTTATCAACAGTCAATTCAGTGATATCACAGAGGACCATTTCATGTAGCAACAGCCTTTGTGGTACAGACTGAAAGATGTACTTTATATATATAGGTGGCACCATCTTCTCTAGACTTGTCCACAGCTGTATGGTGTACGGTAGACTCCTGCAGAAGTGAGAGGGTCCCTCTTGTCCTGTGCCGAACGTAGCATTTGTTGGATTTTCTTGGTGGATCTTGGTGGGTCTACAAGTCTACATAGGGACCACCAAACGCAGCATTGCCCAAACACGAACCAAGGAACATGAAAGGCACTGCAAACTACTTCAACCAGAGAAGTCAGCCATAGCAGAGCACCTGATGAACCAGCCTGGACATAGCATATTATTTGAGAACACAGAAATGCTGGACCACTCTCACAACCACCATGTCAGACTACACAGAGAAGCCATTGAAATCCACAAGCATGTGGACAATTTCAACAGAAAGAAGGAAACCATGAAGATGAACAAAATCTGGGTATCAGTATTAAAAAAAACTCTAAAATTAAAACAGCAAAACATCAGAGGGAAAACAATCATGGACAGCTAATCACCTCTCAACAAAAGATTGCTCCAGGCACTGCCAGGCTATCAAATGGTAATCAAGGTGGTCAGTTGAAACATTCACACCTAGCTCCAGTAGACAAGAGTCCTTTGTCCCACCCTGGTCTTTCCACAGATATATAAACCCATTTTCCTAGTTCCAACAGACCTCACTACCTCTGAGGATGCTTGCCATAGATGCAGGCGAAACGTCAGGAGAGAATGCCTCTAGAACATGGCCATATAGCCAGGGCCGTAGCCAGAAAAAAAATTCGGGAGGGGTTGAAACCTGCCTCCTAGCTCATGCTGAAGCAAAGAGCACAGCAGGGGGCAGAACAGCCTTCAATAGCCTGCAGCTCCGCCCCTGTCAACCACCTCCACCAAGTCTGGCCTCCTTTATTTATTTATTATTCAAACTTATATGCCATCACTTCCCTGGGGCTCGGAGCGGCTTACAAGAACAGGCTAAAATCGAACACAATTTAAAAACAATTTAAACCAATTTAAAAACAGCAATATCAAAGATCAAAGGCCTGTCAAAACAGATATGTCTTACATGCCCTGCGGAAAGCTGATAAGTCCCGCAAGGCACGGACTTCAGGTGGCAGAGTATTCGAGAGTGATGGTGCTACTGCTGTAAAGGCTCTGCGTCTGGTTGCTGTTAGATGCAAGGTCTTGTCACTGGGAATTTCCAACAAAACTTGGTCCTCAGAACGGAGGAATCTCTGTGAGGCGATCCCTCAGGTACATCGGCCCCAAACCATGCAAGGCCTTAAAGGTGAGTGTTGTTGTTCATTCGTTCAGTCGTCTCCGACTCTTCGTGACTTCATGGACCAGCCCACGCCAGAGCTCCCTGTCGGCCGTCACCACCCCCAGCTCCTTCAAGGTCAGTCCAGTCACTTCAAGGATGCCATCCATCCATCTTGCCCTTGTGCCCTCTTCCTTTTTCCTTCCACTTTCCCCAGCATAATTGTCTTCTCTAAGCTTTCCTGTCTCCTCATGATGTGGCCAAAGTGCTTCAACTTTGTCTCTAATATCCTTCTCTCCAATGAGCAGTTGGGCTTTATTTCCTGAAGTATGGACTGGTTGGATCTTCTTGCAGTCCAAGGCACTCTCAGAACTTTCCTCCAACACCACAGCTCAAAAGCATCAATCGAGGTGAGTACCATCACCTTTAATAAGAGCATTCAACCCCTCCCCCCCCCCAACTTGGTTGCTTCACTACATCTGCTATTGCTGCAAGTAATGACAGTGTGAATAAATTGTCAATATTTGCTTGAGATAGTGCTTACAGTTCTGGAGGGACTCTTAATTTTTTGCTTCTCATAGACTTAGCATCTCCAGCAGCTGGGATCCCATCTTATTTCTCATTCCAGTAAGGTAATGCTCAAGATCCTGCAAGGAAGACTCCAGCAATACATGGAGCGAGAGTTGCCAGATGTTCAAGCTGGGTTTAGAAAAGGTAGAGGAACGAGAGACCAAATTGCCAATATCCGCTGGATAATGGAGAAAGGCAGGGAGTTTCAGAAAAACATCTACTTCTGCTTCATTGACTATTCTAAACCTTTGACTGTGTGGATCATAATAACTTGTGGCAAGTTCTTGGTGGGATGGGCATACCAAGTCACCTTGTCTCTCTCCTGAGGAATCTGTACAAGGACCAAGTAGCAACAGTCAGAACTGACCACGGAACAACAGACTGGTTCAAGATTGGGAAAGGCGTACGGCAGGGTTATATACTCTCACCCAACCTTTAACTTGTATGCAGAACACATCATGCGATGTGCGGGGCTTGATGAATGCAAGGCTGGGGTGAAAATTGCTGGAAGAAACATTAACAACCTCAGATATGCAGATGACACCACTCTGATGGCCGAAAGTGAGGAGGAGCTGAGGAGCCTTCTAATCAAGGTGAAAGAAGAAAGCGCAAAACCCGGGTTGCAGCTAAACGTCAAAAAAACCAAGATTATGGCAACAAGAATGATTGACAACTGGAAAATAGAGGGAGAAACCGTGGAGGCCGTGACAGACTTTGTATTTCTAGGTGCAAAGATTACTGCAGATGCAGACTGTGGCCAGGAAATCAGAAGACGCTTACTTCTTGGGAGGAGAGCAATGTCCAGTCTCGATAAAATAGTAAATAATAGAGACAACACACTGGCAACAAAGATCTGCCTAGTCAAAGCCATGGTATTCCCTGTAGTCACCTACGGATGTGAGAGCTGGACCTTAGGGAAGGCTGAGCGAAGGAAGAGAGACGCTTTGGAACTGTGGTGCTGGAGGAAAGTGCTGAGAGTGCCTTGGACCTCGAGAAGATCTAATCAGTCCATCCTCCAGGATAACGTCCATCTGCTCACTGGAGGGAAGGATACTAGAGACAAAGATGAAGTACTTTGGCCACGTCATGAGAAGAAAGGAAAGCTTAGAGAAGACAATTATGCTGGGGAAAATGGAAGGAAAAAGGAAGAGGGGCCGACCAAGGGCAAGATTTGATGGATGGCATCCTTGAAGTGACTGGATTGACCTTGAAGGAGCTGGGGGTGGTGACGGCCTGACAGGGAGCTCTGGCGTGGGCTGGTCCATGAGGTCACGAAGAGTCGGAGACGACTGAACGAATGAACAACAACAACTTAGCATGGGGATTTGGTTAACCAGTTAAAATTCATGAGTAAACCAGGTTTATTTTTTTAACCTGAAAAATTTCGGGGGGGGGGGGTTGAACAGGCCTGGTTGGAGTCACTCCACAACCTTTCCCCTTTATTCCTCCGTCCTTGAGTTCATTCACAATATCTGAAAAAGCACAACACAGCAAGCGGGAGGGCTGCCAAGCCGCAGTGCCATCTCCGCGGAGGGAGAACAATAGCAGGAAGCCAAGGCGGTTCTGAGGGAACTGAAGGGAGCTGAAGGGGGAGAGCACTCTTTCTCTCTTTCCAAGCCGCCTGAGGAGAAACAAAACAGGCGGAAAAGAGAAAAGAAGGACAACAAAAACCACCCAGGGATGAAGGTGGAGGTGGCGGCGGTAGTGGAGGCTCCTCCCCGCCTGAGGAAAAAGCCGCCCTCCTCCTCCTCCTCCTTCTGAGGCGGAGGAAGCATTGTGACGCTCCCGGCGGTGGAAGACCTGGAGCCCCCCGCGAAGGCCGCGAAGCCTGAGGTAAATTTGTCAGCGGGGAAAGCGAGTGAGGCGAGGACAAGGGGAGCCCGTCGCCTCAGAGGAAGAGAGGAGCAACTGCCGCCCTGCCCTCTTTCTCCTCCTCCTCCCTCTCTTCCTTCTCTTCTCTCCCGCTGACGAGGCAGGTACAGGTAGGTGCCGAGGGCCTCGATGGCGCGCCCAGCTGGAAAAGCCGGTTCCTCCTCCCTCCCTGTTTCCTTCCTTCAGGTTGGCGCTCAGGGCGGGCCCGGAGAAGCGGTGATGGGAAACAGCTGAGCCTGAGAGCAGCCCCACCGCCCAGGCTTCTGCGGGGAAGCGGGGCACCACAAGGCAAGCGCCGCCTTGGCATTTATTCCTTGCTTCCCAAAATGGCATCGCTCTCCTTGGTGCCTTCATCGTGCCTGTGAGCGGAATATTACGCCAGCAGGTGCATTTCCACACCGCCAGCCCTCCGGCTGCATTGGGTGAATGGCCTGCCTGGGGTCCTCTCATCCTTCATTAACCAGAGTCAGGGCCGTAGCCAGAAAAAAATTTCAGGAGGGGTTGAAATTTTCGGGGGGGGGGGGGCTTAAATATTTCACGGGGGGGGGGGGGGGGTTGAAACCTGCCTCCTAGCTCACGCTGAAGCAAAGAGCACAGCAGGGGGCAGAGCAGCCTTGAATAGCCTGCAGCTCCGCCCTTGTCAACCACCTCCACCAAGTCTGGCCTCCTTAATGAGAACATTCAACACACACACCCCCAACTTGGTTGCATCAATACTGTTCTGTCACGCGCTGGGCCTGTAAATAATTGTCTTTAGAACAGGATGTGCAACCTTTGCCCAGTGAGAAGCCAGGGGGCCTAGAGAGAAGTTCTCAGAGGTTTCCACCACAAACAGTCTTTAGTTGGCTTGAGAAGTACAACAAAGTATTTTATTAATGAACAATCAAACAGAAACTTCTCTTGTCTTCAGTAAAGTTAAGCAAATGATTCCAAGCTTTTAGGCAACTGGTGAATTCCTAATCTTGCCCACAAAGGACAGGCAACTGTCTTCAATAACTTCTTCTTTAAAGGAAAATCCCCTTTTTAACTTCTCCCAGGCTGACTGTAATCTAACCCTTACTGATGTGGGCTCCGCTACCGGGTCGAACTGCGTCTCGAACGCCGAGTGGACCTACCAGCAAGGCAGTAGATGTTCTCCAGCTGGAGTTCTTTGGTCTTTAGGGCTGTTTTCCTGGAAATTCTTTGGAGACTCTTAAGACCTTTCTCCCCCAGAAGGTCTTAAGGGTTGAAGCTTTTGTACAGGGGAAGCTTGCACACATCCTATACATAAGCTTACCTTGCTGAGACTAACTAAAAATGGCTCCCTTCCCTTCCCAATTGCCCTGAGCAAGGGGTGGGACCAAAACTTAACAATGATGGACAGGTGACTTGCCCTATGACTGCAACCAAAGAAGCCACCTATCTGCAGAGTCCCTGAAACCTAGGACTGCAAGCAAACATTTAATACAAAGCAAATAAAGTTGGAGCTCCTGGTACAGCTGTACCAGAACAACTACATCGGCTATTGCTGCAAGTAATGACAGTGTGAATAAATTGCTAATATTTGCTTGAGATAGTGCTTGCAGTTCTGGAGGGACTCTTGATTTTTTGCATCTCATAGACTTAGCAGGGGGATTGGGTTAACCAGTTAAAATTCATGAGTAAACCAGGTTTTTTTAAAAAAATCTGAAACATTTCGGGGGGGGGGTTGAACCCCTAACCCCCCCCCCTCGCTACGGGCCTGCCTATGAAGACTGCTCGGAGTCTACTGCCTTCCATTCACAAGCTGATTGATCCTCTCATGCAAATGAGAATTGCAGATGAACTGGATTATATGGCAGTGTTAGATCCACTACACTTCCACTTTCAAAGCAGATAATCTTCGTACTGAAAGCAGACTACTTGTTCATGGCACTCACTATATCAGGCCTGTAGCGAGGGGGGGTTTTAGGGGGTCACCCCCCCCCCCGAAATGTTTCAGATTTTTTTAAAAAAACCTGGTTCTCTCATGAATTTTAACTGGTTAACCAAATCCCCAAGCTAAGTCTATGAGATGCAAAAAATTAAGAGTCCCTCCAGAACTGCAAGCACTATCTCAAGCAAATATTGACAATTTATTCACACTGTCATTACTTGCAGCAATAGCCGATGTAGTGAAGCAACCAAGTTGGGTGTGTGTGTGTTGAATGTTCTCATTAAGGAGGCCAGACTTGGTGGAGGTGGTTGACAGGGGCGGAGCTGCAGGCTATTGAAGGCTGCTCTGCCCCTGCTGTGCTCTTTGCTTCAGCGTGAGCTAGGAGGCAGGTTTCAACCCCCCCCCCCCGAAATTTTCAACCCTCCCCAAATTTCAACCCCCCCCCCAAATTGTCAACCCTCCCCGAAATTTTTTTCTGGCTATGGCCCTGACTATATGGCAATGTCAATGGGGCCTCATATAATCCTGCTCCATACAGTTCAGTCTGCATTAGATGCGTATACACATCTATATAAATAAAAATGTAGTGTTCGTTTGTGGGATTAACGGGGCGGCTCAACCCATTATGCAAAGTAAGCATTTGCAGTATAGTTGATTTTGCCCAGGGGCTCTTGAGGTGCTCTTGGGGGAAAATAGACCTTGATATATGTGAGTTGTAGTTACTGGGATGTATAGTTCACCTACAATCAAAGAGCATTCTGAACTCCACCAATGATGGAATTGAACCAAATATGGCACACAGAACTCCCACGATGAACAGAAAATATATATCAGTGATTGGTTGGGGGGGGGGCACCAAAATACTGTTTACTTACCGTTGAAAATTACCTAGGGCCGCCTCTGGGGATTAACAGAACTCAAAAACCACTGGACGAATTGACACCAAATTTGGACACAAGACACCTAACAACCCAATGTATGTCCTTCACTCAAAAAAAATGATTTTGTCATTTGGGAGTTGTAGTTGCTGGGTAAAGGAGGGTAAAATTACTGCCACCAAATTTGTGAGGAAAGCCGGGCAATGATCAACAGCAGCTTAGGAGCTGGTTTATAAAGGGACTATTATTTATAGAAGTATTTATTCATTTGATAGCGTAGCGTTTACTGTCCCTGGTTTGACTTTATTTCTTATGTAGGCTGTTCAACTTAGGAGCAACTGTATCAGGCAAGGCTTGAGGAAAACAGTAACAAGTTTATTTTAACAGGAGTATAACAATGTATAACTGTTCTTCATAAGAGGCACAAATATTGATGGATACATTGGAAAGGTTTCATGAGTAACTTTAGGTACAGACTTTAAGAGGTTTCTATAAGCAGATGTATCTTTCCTGGACAACTGTCCTAATAAAACAAATAAGCTAAAAGGCTTATTTAACAGAATTGGCTCCCAGCCAAACCCTGATTCTTAATATTAAAGAACCAGTCTTCCCTATAGTTCTCTAACTATAGTATTCCTGATGGTTTTCCACACACCACAGGATCAACTACCTTCTCCTGTAACTCTTTGGTCACAGACTAGTTCCCTGAATCCCCACCTAGAGATTTCAGTCCTTTCTGCAACTCTAATAGTTACAGACTAATTCCCTGCATCTCCACCCAGAGATTCAGTCTTCCCTGTAACTCTAATGGTCACAGACTGCCACTTTCAAACAGCTGTGCCGTGAAGTGACAGTTGGCTCCGCCCCCATTGCTATGGCAACTCAGCTCAAGCCACCAGCCACCATCTCTAATAAAATATAATCCTACATACTTACCATTTATTAACTACTGTTTAAACAACACATAACCATAAGAATAAAAATTACACATCGTCACACTGGGATTTATAGTTCACCTGCAATCACAGAGCATTCTGAACCCCACCAACGATAGAATTGGGCCAAACCCCCCACACAGAACCCCCATGTGGGCCACAGCAACGTGTGGCAGGAGACGGCTAGTTAATAATAATAATTATACCCCGCCATCATCTCCCCGATGGGGACTCGGAGTGGCTTACATGGGGACAAGCCCGGACAACATATTACAGCAATAAAATCAAAACATAAACAACAAACAATGACAACATCATCAAAGTACATGAATAATAATAATAATAAGGAAAAAAGCAGTCTTAAAATAACATTACATGCATTATATGTCTGTGTAGATGGGGGCTTCATGTAATCCAGATCAATTTACATTATATGAGTATACACAATATATATGAGTATACGCAATATATGCATTATATGAGTATACACAATATATGCATTATATGGCAGTGTAGATGGGAGTCTTCATATAACCCTGCTCCATGCAGTTTAATCTGCATTATATGTGTATACACATTATATTCATTATATGGCAGTGTAGATGGGCCTCATATAATCCAGTTCAATGCAGTTCAATCAGCATTATAGGCGTATACACATTATATGCATTATATGTCAGTGTAAATGGGGATTTCATATAATCCAGTTCAATCTACATTATATGAATACACACATTATATGAATTATATGGTAGTTGAGATAGGGGCTGCATGTAATGCAGTTCAGTTACCATTATATGAGCATATACATTATATGCATTATATGGCAGTGTAGATAGGGCTTCATATATTCCAGTTCAATCTGCATTATATGAATGTACACATTATATTCCTTATATGGCAGGGTAGTTGGGAGCTTCATATAGTCGTTCCATGCTGTTCAATCTGCATTATATGAGTATACACATTATATGCATTATATGGCAGTGTAGATGGGGGCTTCATATAATCCAGTCCCATGCAGTTCAATCGCCATTATATGAGTATATACATTATATGCATTATATGACAGTGGAGATGGCTTCATATAATCCAGTCCTTTGCAGTTCAGTCAGCATTATATGAGTATACACATTATATGCATTATATGGCAGTGCAGATATAGTCATTCCATGCTGTTCAATCTACATTATATGAATATACACATTATATGCATTGTATAATCCAGTTCCATGTGGTTCAGTCTGCATTATACGCATGTACACGTGTATTATATGGCAGTATAGATGGGGGCTTCATATAATCCAGTTCCATGCAGTTCAATCAGCATTATATGAGTATACACATATGCAGCAGGTTAAACCGCTGAGATGCTGAACATGCAGACTGAAAGGTTGGTGGTT